AGGCAGGTAGCAATCATGATCTCAGACAAAGCGAAGGCTGAAATAGAGCTAATTTTAAAAGATAATCAGGGAAACTACATTTTGATAAAAGATACCATAGACAATAAAGTAATATAAAAAAATTTTTTTACAGCAGGTTTCTCTGATAAAAGCCTCATTTCTCAAATATATAGAGAACTGAGTCAATTTTATAAAGATAAGAGCCATTTCATAATTGGTAAATGATCCAAGGATATGAACAGGCAGATTCAAAAGAAGACATTAAAAGTATGAAAAAATGCTCTGAATCACTATTGACTAGAAAAATGCAAATTAAAACAATTCTGAGGTACCACTTCACACTTACCAGAAATGACAAATGCTGGAGGGGATGAGGGAAAATAAGTACACTAATAGACTGTTGGTGGAGTTATGAATTGCCTCAACCATTCTGGACAACAATTTGGAACTATGCCTAAAGGGCTATAAAAACTGTGACCCAACAATACCACTACTAGGTCTGTATCTTACAGAGATCAAAGGAAAAGGATAATGACCTACATGTGAAAAATATTTATAGCAGCTCTTTTTTTGTGGTGGCAAAGAATCAGAAATTGAGGGAATACTCATTAGTTGTGGAACAGCTGAACAAATTGTGGAGTATAATTGTGATGGAGCACTATTGTGCTATAAAATGACATGGGAGATTGTTTCATAATAAAAACATGGCAAGATCTGTATGAACTGATTCAAAGTGAAGAACTGGGAGATCATTGTGCATAATAACAGCAATGTTGTAATGATGATCAACTGTGAAGAACGTGGCTAGTTTAATCAATACTATAATCCAAGACAGTCTCAGGGGACTCCTGATGATAAAGTTCTGTTAACCTCCAGAGAGAGAACTGATGAAATCTGAGTGCAAATTGAAATATAATTTTCTCACTTTATTTTTTGTTTTTTTCCCATATATAACTAATATTGAAATATGTTTTGCATAATTTCATATGTATAATTGATATCATTTTGATTGCCTTCTCAGTGAATGGAGGAGGGCTGGGAGGAAGAGTTTAGATTTAAAATTAAAAAGAAAAGAATGCTAAAAATAATAAATATTAAAAAAATTAAAAAGAAAAATAAAAGTATTTTTATCATGGTTCCATATTAGACATTTCTTGAATTTTGAAGGCATTTCCTACCAGCTGTCCCTGCTGGAATTGGACAGCCAAAGATCATTGGGGAAGGGTTATTAGGCTTGTACCTGGTCTAAAATTTGTTTTGGAAAAAGATTTAGCAAATATGTAAAGACATCTTTAACTTTAAAAAGTTCTTATTAAAATCTCCATAAGTATGGAGGTATCAAAGCATTTAGGGCTCTAGTATCTAGTAGAACTTTGCTCCAGTAGAATGGCTCTAAGGAAAAATTAAGTAATTGTGGATGTTGCTGAAATTGTATTTGGAAGGGTAAGGTGCCAAAGCTTGGAAACTTGAATTTTATGGCAATACAAAATGGGATCTTGGTTGTTCATATGAGATCTCGTAGCTTTGTGAATTTATTAGAGTTTCTTAGGGAAATGCAGGTTAAGACTGCACTCTTTGGGCCAAAAATATTAAAATATAAATATGATATGAGAAATCAGAGCAGTAAAATGAAACCCCTTCCTCACTGTGGGGGCACTAGGTGGCACTGTTGGAGTGCAAGAAAGTACTAAACAATGTTCTTTAGGTTGCGTAAATACTGCTGCAAAGAAACTGTGGTTGAGAAAATAACCTGTTACAAAACTCATTATTCTTTTGGAGTTATAAAATGCATGTTTGATTAGGTTGCAATTCAGCCCATAGCCCTCCCAGGGTCCGGAGTGCTGTGTATTGTGTTGGAGAGTATACCTTCTGTTATTATCGGGGACTGTGTTTTTTGTAACTCATTTCCTACAAACCATGATGAATTTCTAGCCATTTCATCCCCCACTCTAAAGGTGTTCTCCTAGAAACAATGGTCCAAAACAATACTTGTGTGAGTGTGTGTGTGTGTGTGTGTGTGTGTGTGTGTGTGAGAGAGAGAGAGAGAGAGAGAGAATTAGTAATAATTCTTGCCATAGTGATATTGCTTTTTGTCAAAGGTATCCTTGTGTAATTATGTAAGCAGAAAAAATTTAACTTTCCTGCTAGCTCAACATGAAATAGCAGCAGGGCGAGCTCCAAGGTTTACCCACCCCCAATCTCCCCTAAGCTTTAATATTTCATCGTACTTTCCCTCAAATACTGAAAATTCACTTGTGTAAACTTTTTTTTTTCTTTCGTCAGAGTTCTGACATGAATAGTAAAAGTTCAACACATACCTGTATAAAAGGGAAAACGGCTGCTCCATTGTTTTTACTTGGAGCAACCTGACCCTCTTAATAGGCAATTAGTGACAGGTCAAAAGCCTTCCTCTTTACAGCTTTCCAACCTTCCCCACAAAAAGGTATAGCTTGTCTATGAGACTCACCAGTCGCTTTTACAGTATGCTAGGGACATAAATATTATGCATTTAATTGTCCCTGCTGGCAGCTCCCTGTAGGGGTGAGCCGGGGGAAAATGCGAGGTGGTTCTTTCCTTTTGCCTTCCTCTTGCCAACGTGTCTTGTATAAACAGTTTCTGTTAGTGGAGGGATGGGATGGTGCTTAAGGAGATTTCAAACACAGGACACTGGTATGAGAGAAACAGAAATAGAAGATGAAAAAAAAATCTGTTCCAAAGTTATAAATGGCCCCTAACTTTTGTACTTTTGATCTGTAGTGATAGATCTATTAAAAAAACTGTCTACTAAAAAGATTGCCTTGGGTAAAAAAAAAAACAAAAAACAAAAAACTTGAAGTATCTACTTTATAGAAGTATGTGTTCAAACTCTACTATTCTTTATCAGAACTTTGACAAAGAAAGAGGGAAAATTTACATGAATGAATACCCTCTCAGTAATTATTGCCGGAAGGAATTATAAAATATTAAAATTTAGGAAAGGCTTAGAATGAGCAGTGTTTTAGAAAAATAGCATGCCCACCACCCTTCTGTGGTAGGCGTAACAATGTGGATAAAACCCAATAGGCAACCCTACCATCACCTCTTTACCACTTAATAGCGATATAACTGTGTCCATGTTTTCACTGTCTACCTCCTATAGTGGTTGTGAGAAAAGCATCAAGTGCTACGTGAATATGCACAGTATTATTACCTTCTATTTATTTAAATAAGTATTTACATTTTAGACATATTGTGCAGATAATTGCCTAAAAGTTGTCTGACCATGAAAAAATATTACCAATTCACTCTCTTCTTCTTCCCTCTCAATCCTGCCCTCTCCCGCTGACTAAGAACAAATAAATGAAAACAGCATTATATACCACTCGACACAAACTCATTTATTTTGGGAGAGCAAGCAGCTGGCTGTTTTCAAACTTAAAAAAATCCATTACGTCTTAGTATAATTGCCGCACAATTTTGAAGTTGTTTTAATTTTAAGGTAATTTTTAGGGGGGAATGCAGTGTGGCAGTTTACATGAAGAAAGAGGTCTTTTAGTAGTGAAATAAAATGGTAAATTAAGACATTGTTTTCTTCCAAACTTCCCTTATTACTGTCTTATCTAATAATATGTTCAATAATTTAATAATAATTCTCTAATAATATATTTAATTATATATGAATGTTATAATTACAAAATGTAATTCACACACACACACACACACACACACACACTGCCCAGACTACATTAACCTTGAGACTTCACCCTTACTTTCCCGACATATCCAATCAATTGCCAAATCTTATTGTTTAATGACCATACAATTCTCATATATGCTCTCTCCTCTCCATTCATATAGCCACCACCCTGGTTCAGGCCTTCATCACCTCTCACTCAGGACTATTGTAATAACCTAATTGGTCCTCTGCCTCATCTCTCTCCACTGCAATCCATCATCCACACAGTTGCCAAAGTGATTTTTCTGAAGTGCTGGCCTGGCTATGTCCAAGGCCCTCCACCCTCAAAAAATTTAGTGGAGCACTATTTTAGGATCAAATATATCTCTGGCATTTAAACATCTTTATACCTGGCCCTTTCCTATCTTTCCAGGCTTTTTACACTTTACCTGCTTTCTCCCCGCCCTACAAGTCAGCCATACCAGCTTGTGTGCTGTTTCTCATATTACCATCTCCTCTTTTGTCCCAGTTTTGTACTTTATGCCTTCTAGCCTGGAAAACTCTCCCTTTTCACCTCTGACTTTAAGAATCTTTGGCATCCTTTACAATTCTGCTCCAATGCTGCTGTCTGCAGGAAGTCTTTCCGAGGCCCCCAGCTGCTATTGCCTTCCCTTCTAAGTTCACCTTGTTATCTGATGTATGTTTTTGTTGTCTTTCCCTTTGTAAACTCCTTGAGGGCAGGGATTGTTTCTCCCCTTCGCCTCCTTTGTATCCTCAGGGCTTGGCACAGTGCATGGCACTTGGTAAACCATTTATGCTCGTGGATTGATTGATGTGGCTTTTCAGGAGGTTCAGGTAATATATGAAAAAAGAGATGGGAGAGGAAGGATTGAAAGCAAGCTGAGTCCATTCCTTTTTTTTAACGAAATTCTTTTAATGAATGATTTTAAATCTATATAGTAGTTCTGGTTGAAGGCAGAAGAAGGGTAAAATTACAGGTTAAAAATGTGGATATGGGTGATAGGTTTTCTACATTTTTTAGCATAACTTCATATCTCTCAGTAAATTAGAGGAAAAACAACTAGATAAAAGAAATCTTATCTAGATATCAGCATGTGGTGACAAAGGATAACTGTTTATTTTACTTTTGCTATTTGGACTTTTTTCTCCCATATTTGAATATGTAGACCACTTTGTGAATTTTGTGCTTTTTGCAAACTTGGTTGTAACATTCTCCCAGGGTTTTGCTATATTTTAAAATAATTTAAAATAGTCCACACAGATCTTCATATTCATCCTAATAAGAGGATTGAAAACACTGATTTGTTTTCCTGTTTTGTTATAGTGGACTTTACCCCAATTCCATACAAGAATCCACCTCCTCCCAAAGTAGAAAAGACATTTCCACCGTACCATGGATATGGCTCTGAAGAGGATTCTCTTTGTTCCTGCTTAGGACTTATGCCCAAACCACCCCAGAAAGATTTCAAAAAATTTATGGAAAAAGACAGGTATCTGAACATAAGTTCTTCTCCCCCTCCCCTAAATCATTTCTAAATTTTCTTCTTGGGATTTAGGGTATACACCATGTGCTAAAGACAAATATTCTGTTCACTTAATTTACAGTTCAGTGAAATGTTGTTGTGATAATAGCCTAATATAACTTGTTCTTGCATGAGTTCTGATTTGTAACATGTATCAACTAAAGCCCGATAAAGTAAATTAATGTTCTCTCTAACTTAGATTATATTTTCTCATACATAACTCATAAGATGGCAACTCCCTAGAAAATGGTATAGGGATGTTTGATTGATTTAGAAGGGGTATTCAGTATCAGAAAGTTTTCTGGTTGAGTTCAGCAAGCAAGAAATTGTTTATGCTGCCGAAATACCACTTTTTAAAGGTAGTCTGTATGGTAAGAGCTTACTTCCAAAATGCGTGGAAAAATCAGCCCCCAAAGTCATATATACTGAATGTTTTCCATTGCCTTTCTGGTTTATTCTTCCACAGGGAGAGAAGGCATTGTAGAAAGAAGTATATAATCATAGACTAGTGAGGAATAGTGCTCAGGCAGAAAATTATAGTGTCCTACATGTGGGAAATAATGGGATGTGAGAACTGTAAAAAGGAGGGAAGAAGAAATATAGGAAGGGATTGAGAGAATGAAAAGTCTGTACCAGGTCTGTTGAAATCAGACCTGAATTCAAGTCCTTCTTTGGACAGATGTTGGCTGGGTAATCATAGACAAGTCAAAACCTCTTGTATTGAGTAACTCTAAGACCATTAAGTTGTAAAGCAGGTACTCTGTACACCACTGTATGCACTTTTTTAAAGTTTGGGTTCAGTTAGGTAAAACTGATACAATCTGTGGATGCTGTTTTCCCATATTTTGAAGTACATACAACAAAAATATGAAGGCACAGTGATTGATACTTTTTTTTATTAACAATCACTCTAAATTGACACAGATTTTTCTAGATATGAAGGTAAGAAAAGCTCTCTTGTCTTGAAATGGAATCCTTTTGCATTTTAATCTCTTATACAAGAGACCAAAATATTTTATTGTAAATTCTACCCTATACTTATTGGTGATATAATGACTCCAGCAGAAAAATTCTGTTGCTTTGTAATGAGAATTGTACTTTTGATGTATTAGCTGATTACTGTTTTTAGGGATAGTCACCTGAAATAGGTTGGAGAATAAATTTTCCCTGTTGGAAAATGAATGTTGGAAAAAATAATTCTCCTTGGTGAATAAATTGGTTTTGGATCTCAGGGGAATAGAATTTTTTTTTTAGTTTGAAGCATTCTTTTCCCATTTTGCCACTTAAAGAGTTCTGATTATAAATAGTACACTTCTATTTCTAATTCACAAGTGGTTATGAAAACGACATTCTCAGTGACATATGACTTGCAGATTAATGCTATTCTGTCACCTGGGTTGGTCCTACAGGTACAGACATCTCTAATTTTGCTTCATTCTGTCTACTAATCATTGTGTCCAGAATATACTTCCATCAAGCTCCACCCAAACCTATGACCCTGTTTCCATAGTAACCAGTACAATTCAGTAAGGAGTTCTGTGCATAAGCTAGAATAAAATAAGGTTTTAAAACAGTGAAAACCTAAGAAACAGAAGACTCAACGCAAGAAAATAAGGTGGTTCACAGATGAACCAAGTTACTTTTTTTAAAAATAACATATACTTTTGGATATAAGATTATACGACATGTAACACAAGTTGCTTAACCATGAGTTGGGGGACAAATTATGGTAAAATTTTAGTAGTTCTTTGGAGAGAAATGAAATCGAAGGAGGAAGAATTTCATAAATAAAGCAGGGCTTCTTGGCTACTGCTGAGGGTGAGCATAGAATCTTTGAGCTGGTAGGGATCTTGGAGATAAACTATTTCAACTTAATCAGTTTACTTACTGATTAGAAAACTGAGGTTCATGAAGATGAACTTGTCAACTTGTCACAGGTAGCCTGGGAAGGGGATAAGGAAAGATCTCCAGTTCCTTCACATTTCCCACAAAGTATCTTTTTTCCCCCTTCAGCTTTCTAGCTGAGCTCTTCAGCTGTTTGGAATAAATTTTTTTAAAAACTTTTATACCCGGCTTCACTAGCTTTTTGCCTCTCCAGTCTACTCAAAGGCACAGGTTTGAGGAGAGGAGCTGTGCCATCATGACTACTGTTCTGTGTGGATCGGAGAAAGCCCTACCACCCTCTTCCCTCTACATGTTCCTTCTGGAGAACTTTTACAAATTTTTGCTCTTGAGGAAAACTCCATCCTTCAGTCTTGATCCCAAGAAAACTTCCCAAGATGGCAAGTGATACAATTCCCAGGTCTTTAAGAATTTAGGTCATTTCCCAAGGCAACTAGTTCAAACCTTGCCAGAAGTACCATTGCATTTTTTTTTAAAAGGATAGATCTGGTTCCAGGCACCAAGGAACAGTGATTGAGATAAAACAAATGAATGTGTCAGAATAGCAAACAATATGAGGGTATTTATAAACATTTTTGTTGTTGTTTTGTTCAGTCATTTTCAGAAATGTCCAACTCTTTCTGACCCCATTTTGGGGTTTTCTTGGCAGAGATACTGGATTGATTTGCCATTTTCTTCTCTAATTTATTTTACAGTTGAGGAAACTGAGGCAAACAAGGTTAAGTGACTTGCCCAGGGTCACTCAGCTAGTAGGTGTCTGAGGCTGTATTTGAACTCAGGAAGATGAGTCTTGCTGACTCCAGGCCTGGCACCGTACCCACTCCGTCACATAACTGCCCCAGCTAAGTGTGCTAAACTGTATGTTAGAGTCTGAGAAATTAGGAGAAATTAGGAGATGCATGAAAGCTGGCACAATCATGCAAGGCTTGACAGAACATGTAGGACTTCATCTGGACCTTGAAAGACAGGTGGGATTTGGGATGGGCAAAAAGGGAGAATGATGAAGATATTGCAGGTGGAAGCAATAAGAACAGTGACAGAGGCATGAATGAGCATGGCAAAGGAGAGTGAGCAACTTGGCCTGACTAAAGTGGGGGCAGGGTGGGGTCTTCATTGAAGAACAGTGGAAAGAAAATTTGGATAGGGAGGAATTAGCCAAGTCATGGAGGGCCATTAGAGCTAGGTGGAGAGCAGATCAATGATGTGGTAGGAGACAGAGAGCCATTTAATGATTTTGTAGCAGAATCAGCATTGGATTTGGAGACTGGAGGATATTTATTCAAATGCAGGATCTGGATTACATTTTATTTTATTTTATTTTATTTTATTTTATTTTATTTTATTTTATTTTATTTTATCTTATTTTTATTCATTTATTTTGCTTTTTGGTGAGGCAGTCGAGGTTAAGTGACTTGCCCAGGGTCACATAGCTAGTAAATGTCAAGTGTTTGGTCTGAGGCTGGATTTGAACTCAGGTCCTCCTGACTTCAGGGTTGGTGCTCCATCCACTGTGCCTGGATTACATTTTATATGACTTTGGGGAAGTCTCTTCACCTCTCTGGGCCTCAGTTTCCTCTGTAAAATGTGGAAGCGGGACTAGAATTTTCTAAAGTCTCTTCCAGCTGACCAGGAAAATAACATGATTGAAACTAGTGGTTAAGTAAGATTAGATATATATTTACTACTGAGTTACATTAATTTTGCTAAAGATTTAGTCTTTTTTAGTTTCTAACCTAACTGCTGAAATCTGCAATCATAATTTAGATCGACGAGTGTGTAATCCTTAACATTCTTTGTATATTACAGAGGTCCTAAGGTCAGAGAATAGTAATAAAATATATATTTGATATTGAATTAAGCTAGTCACTTAGAAGTTTTAGTGAAACTAAAGTACTATAATTTATAAATTAGCAGTATAAATTATATGGCATATATATGCATATATATTATTAATGTTTCACAGAGGGCAAAACTAGTATCAGATTTATTTCTAGACACAATAAGACTAATCCCTACCTTATAAGAGAGTGGACTACTAGAGAAAAATGGCCATTGTGGGTTCAGTAATTATTAAAGTTTAGTAGAGAACTAGAAACTGAAGAGGTACCCCTCACTTGGGAAAGTTATGGTATACGATTGTGACAGAATACTATTGTTCTTATAGAAATGATAGATAGGGCGGTTTTAGAAATATCTAGGAAGACCTACATGAATGGATGCAGAATCGAAGTGAACAGAATCAGTAGAACAATTTATATAATAACAACAGTATTGTAAAGAAAAACAACTTTGGAAGACTTACAACCTCTAATCTATACCGGAACCACAGTTCCGGAAGACTTATGATGAAACATGGTACCCACCTACTGAGAAGTGATGGACTCAGTACAGAATGAGACTTTTTTTTTCTTGGGCATGGCCAGTGAGGGAATTTGTTTTACCTGTCTGTACATATTTGTCATAAGAGTTTTATTTTTTCCTTATTTTTCAATTGGGGAGGGGTGTGGTGGAAGGGAGAAAAGTTTGATTTTTGTTAACTAAAAACATTTTATTAAAAATTAAAATTTAATGAACATACTTGACATTTATCCAGTGCTTTAAAGCTTGCAAGCCACTTTATATAAACCATACTTTTTGATTTTCATGACAATCTTGTGAAGTAGTTACTGCAGATACCAGTATAACCATTTTACAGATGAAGAAACTGAGGCTTAGGGTTTTGCCTATAGATATAGAACTAGTAAATGTTAGGGAGTTGGTGGGAGAGTAGAATGGAGATTTCAACTCATATCTTCTTTTCTCCAAGTCCAAGAACCTTTTCTGCCCCATTCTTCCTTTCATATGTTGATTTATGAGCATTCTTCAGCTGGCTTGCAGGCAGCAACTCAGTGTATCTTTAGCTCAAATCTCTAGGATGATCCACAGAAGTGAAGGAGCCCCTTTTCTCCTCTGTGACTTGGAGATGCTAATTTTTGCACCCTTCTGAGAAAGGAAGGAATGAAATCTAACATAGGGCAGTCTTGCAAATAGCTACTTTTGCATTTGTCTAGATGTGTTCCAAGAAAGGAAATCATGATGACCTGAGTTATTCTGCTGAACCTCCTCTAAACTGGACAGATTGCTCTACAAATTGCTTAAAAGATATGACTTAGTGCTGTTAGAGTTAGATTTTCATTGTTAAAGACCTCCCATGATTGAGTCATTGGTAATGGAGCTGAATGTTCACCTCTCTCAAACACCCCATTAGTTGATGCCAGTACACATACTTCTACAGATAGACCCTAGATTAGTTTTCTTAGGGACTAGACAGTTGCTTTTTGGGGTCATTGCTTGATTTTAACTTTTGGTCTAATTTTGAAGGATAACAGAACTTGACCTATAGGCTTCATTTTAATCTGTCTAGATCTTATTTATTAACTATTACTTTGGATTGTGCAATTTGATAAACATCTATTGAGCAAAATATTGTATTAAATGTTCTTGGTGATACAAAGAGAAACAAAAAGTGATTTTTACCTCAAAGAACTTAAAATTTGAGGTATAATTGTGTGGGGATGGAAGTGCTGCATAAGAAATGCAAATTATCAAACATCAGAGTATAATTAGTGTCACAAGAGAGGCACAAAGTGAAATGGATGATGAGTACTGAGTGAGTGGTCTCCTTTCTTGGGATCTGGGTATGGATGCACATATAAATAAGATGTTGATTGTGAATCTTTGATGAGATTTTAGGCTGGCTAGATTAGGAGACATAACCAACCATTGAGCTAATTAATGCATCACAAATACAAAATCTAGGTCATGTTTTATTGGGAAAAAATTTTGAAATTAAGGTCAAACAAGTTGACTTCAAAATCCTACCTTTATGACCTTAGTCAAGTCACTAGGCCTCAGTTTCTTTATTTGTAAAATGAGGGTGTTAGATTGGATGTCTTCAAAGGTCCTTTCCAGTTCTAGATTAATGACCCCTTGATTGTACGGCAAAAGATCTATCGTTTTTCATCATAGGGAATGCCTGGTATGAAAACCTCAAATACTAATGCAGTTTTCAACTAGTTTATGACTTAATAGGTAAGTCTTAAGCGTTGCTTGAGATTAAGAAAGGTTAAAAGAAAAAAGATTGGCCCAGGATGACATAACCATCAGAGGAGGAGCCTGAGTCCAGGTCTTCCTCACTCCAAACCTATCACTCTCTCCGTGCCACCTCTCTGATTTAGGTGACATTATTTAAATTAATTAAATTAATGAAAATTTCTGTATTTCGGTGACATTATTTTATTGGTGGACAGCTAGGTGCCACAGTGGATAGAGGGCCAGACTTGGAGTCAGGAAGACCTGAGTTCAAATCTAGCCTCAGACATTTACTAGCTGTGTGACCCTGAGCAAGTCACTTAACCCTGCATGCTTCAGTTTCTTCATCTGTAAAATGAGCCGGAGAAGGAAATGGCAAACCATTCTGGTATCTTTGCTAAGAAAACCCCAATTGGAGTCATGAAGAGTCAGACACAACTGAATCATTCATGACTGAACAACAACAACATTACCTATGTTCAGAGTCTCAGGTAGGTGGCAACAACAGATGTTCTTACATGTTAGGGAGGGAAAGTCTCCTGGAAAATCTAGAACCTTCCCACTTTAGTATCTTCTCATTTATTTTAGAGAATTTATTTTGCAGTTTAAAATTACAAAATGATCTTTTAGTGTGTTTAGATAAAATTACATATCTCATAATGGAAAGAATTTAAGATCTAGGGAACCAGCGGCCTCAAGGCAGGTTCCCCACTCCTGGGTAAGTACATCTGAGAGAAGAAGAAAAAATAAAAAATATCGTAAACCCTCATTTTGTCCCGTTTTCCCCTTTCTGTTTAGCTTTGGCCTTGTGAGTCACGTACTTCGGTTTCTTGCAAAACTTGATACGGAAGATTGTGTTGACAAGGACCGGAGATTCATCATTTCTTATTATCTCAGTGATGACAGCCTTTCAGTGTATGAGCCTCGAATGAGAAACTCAGGTGAGAGTTTCAGGGTCACAGATTTAGAGTCAGAAGGGACCTGAAAAACTATGTAGTCCAGCCCATGCCTTTTATAGGTGAAGAGACAGAGGGGGCAGCTAGGTGGCACAGTGAATAGAGCACTGGCCTTAAAATTAGGAGGACCTAAGTTCAAATCTGGCCCCTGACACTTACTAGCCGGGTGACCCTGGGCAAGTCGCTTAACCCCAGTTGCCTTCAAAAAAGAAAGAAAGAAAGAAAAGAAAAAACGGAAGTTCAAAGTGGTGCCACCTGGATAAGAGCAGTAGTTGGCAGAGCTGGGCCTTGAAACCCAGTGATCTAACACTGGATCTAGTGCTCTGCCCACTATACAACACAGTCCTTTTGTAACATTTGATGATGCATTGTTCTGAAACATAGTAAAGGTGATCTATATGCCTGGTTTGTATCCTCTAGATGTCAGCATGTGATCTTGATATTTCTTTCTTTTTTTTTTCTTTTTTAGCATTTATTTCTTTCTAGCATGCTTTGCAAATATTTTTTCTCACCTTCTGAGACATTTTGAGAAATTCTATATTTAGGTAAATACCCTGGCTTCTAACTTACATGTCTTCTTGGATAGATTACCTCTTGCACCAAATATTAACCCTCCTCTTTGGTACCTGAAACTCTTCACAAGTAGCCCCTTCCTATATTTCCAGACTTTTTACCCATCGCTTCCTTCCTTGCACTCCATAGAGTTCTGCCATAATACTGTCATGCTAGCTGGTCCTCCCACTCACGATACTCTATCTCCTGCCTTTTCCCCATGCCTAGAAGACTACACTTCCCAATTTAAATGGCGCCTTCTGCAGGAAGTCTTTTTAAGTCCCCTGGGCTTCTAGGGCCTTCTCTGTATGGATGTTTTATATACCTATTTATATACACATTATCTCCTCCATTAAATTCTAAACTCCTTAAGGATGAGAACTGTTATCCCTTTTCCTTTGTTTCTCCAGTACTTGGCACAGTCCCTGGCACATAGTAAGTCCTTAATAAATGCTTGCTAGTTAAAGAAGTTGGAGGGGGGCTCGTCATCTTTCTTGACTTAGAAAGGCGTATGTTTGCACCAGTCTGAGTTGGAGTGAATGAAGTCTAACTGAGGGCAAGATAGCAACTGAAACTTTCTCCCTAGTCTAGACAGGTTGGTTTCCTCAGTCAAGGCAGAATGTACCAAGACAAAGTCGTTAGGTAAATTAGCATAATTCACTAACAACAACAACAAAAATAGCTAATTTTGAGACCATTGGTCATAAAAAAATGAATCTTTATTTGGGAGAGAGTAGACAGAGAAGGGTCTGGACCCTTATATGGCTTTCCCAGAATGGAAACTACCTTTACTGGATTGTCATCTCCTTTTAAACTACTATTTCTAGAGATTTACCTGGGGCACTGAGATATTAAGTGAGTTGCTTCTTGGTAATAAATAAATTAATGTAGATAGTGCTGTGATTTTTATCATATTAGATTGTCCTACCTATAAGCAATATATTTTTTCCAGTTATTTAGATCAGAAATAGAACTTGAGCTCAGTTTTTCCTGACTCTGTCTGGCCCTTTATCTACCATACCATTCTACCTTTTCCTACCCATCACAAGTTATAAGAAAAATCCTTATAAATAAAAAATAATTCTCTATGACTTGTCTACTCTTGGACCTTTCAGCTACCAAGATGGTTAAAGCTGTGAACACACAAGCCAGTAACAGGGAGCTCAGTAGCATGTCAATACATGCGTGGTCATTAGATTGATCATAGTTCTTAACAGCTTTCAAAGTTATTTGTTTTTACAGGGTTGTTGTTGTTGTATAAATGCTTCTTCTAGTTCTGTTGACTTCACTCTACATCACTTCATAAAAATCTGTCTGTATCTTTTTGCCACATCAAAAGAACTGCTATGGATATTTTTGTACATTAAGGACTTTTTTTCTTCTTTGATTTCTTTTGGAAAAAGGCCTAACAGTGGTATAGCTGGGTGAAGCTACACACAGATTAATAATTTTTTTGTGTATAATTCCACATTACTTTCCAGAATGATTGTACATATTCATAGGTTCATTAACAGTGCATCAATGTGTCTGTTTTCCTGTAACTTCTGAAACATTTATAATTTTCCTTTTTTGTCATCTTTGCCACTCTAAAGAGTGTGAAGTGGAATCTGAGAATTATTTTAATTTGCATTTTTTCTAGTTATTATTGATTTGGAGCATTTTAGGGGGAGGTATGGCTATAGAGAGCTTGGATTTTTCCCTTGAGAACTGTCTATTCTTATCCATATACCATTTATCAATTGGGGGATTATTCTTTTTTTTAATTTGAATAAATTTCTTATTCATCTTTGAAATGAAATTTTATTAGAGAAACTTACTATAAACATTTCCCCCACTTAATTGTTTCCCTTTTAACCTTAGCTTTATGAGGTTTGTTTGTGCAAAACTTTTAAAAATTTCTCTGTTTCTCTGTTTTGTTTATGATGTGACTTTTTATATCTTGGTCACATATCCATTTGGAGCTTATCTTTGTATAAGTTATGAGGTGTTGGTCTAATTTCTTCCATATTGCTGTTCAGCAGTTTTGTTAAATAGTGAGTCCTAATTTTATCAGTTGTCTTTATTGAATACTATTAGATATACCTTCTCTGTATTGTTTACCTAATTCATTCCACTGATTAATCTCTCTGTTTCTTGACCAGTATCAAATTATTTTAATAATAGCTTCTTTGTAGTATAGTTTGAGCTTTGGCACTGGTAGGTCCTCTTTGTTTCCATTTGTTTCCATTATTTCTTTTGAAATTCTTGACCTTTTTTCCCTTCTAAATGAATTTTGTTATTATTTCTTCTTGTTCTACAAAGTAATCCCTTGATACTTTGTTTAGAATGACATTGAATAAATAAATTAATTTAGGTAATATTGTCATTTATATTATATTGATGTGTCCTACCCATGAACAATTAATGTATTTTTCCTATTATTTAGCTCTGTTTTTATTTCTATAAATAGTTGCTTGTAGTTTTACTTATATAGTTCTTATATACACCTTGGAAGGTAGATTCCCAGGTGTTTTCTGTATGTTTTGGAATTTCTCTTTCTACTTTCTCAGTTTGTTGTGATGCTCTGGATAGAAGTTTAAACTGTGTTCAATTCAAATCAAGCATTTATTAAGTGCCTGCTATGTGCAAGGAATTATGCTTAGTGCTGGTGATGTAAAGACAACAATAAAACAATAATTGTCCTCAAGGAGATTACATTTTACAAGAACTAAGGTACTTCCCAACTCTAAAATTCTTTGATTCTGTGAATCTAGTAGAAAGGGAGAAAATAAACATTTAGTAAGCACCTGTTGTGTGCCGGGGGGCAGCTAGGTGGTACAGTGGAGAGAGGGCTGGGACATGAGTCAGAAAGACTCATCTTTATTAGTTCAAATCTGGCCTCAGACACTTACTAGTTGTGTGACCTGAGCAAGTCACTTTACCATGTTTGCCTCAGTTCCTCATCTATGAAGTGATCTGGAGAAGGAAATGGCAAACCACTCCAATATCTTTGCCTAGAAAACCCCAAATGCGGTCATGAAGAGATGAACATGACTGGAAAATGACTGGATAACAACATGTACCAGGTATTGTGCCAAGTACTTTACAAATATTATCTCATTTGATCTTTACAACAATCCTGTGAGGTACATACTATTATTATTCCCAAAAGTGAGTGAATGAATAGCCCTGAAGAAGACTTAGCAAGCCCTCTCACCAGAGGTGCCAATCTTTCCTCAACATTGCATACACCCATCGCCCAACTTTCACCTGTGGCTCCAAGAAGTTGTAGCATGTGCAGTGGCCCCTCTCCAAGAAAACCATCTTGGCAGACAGGTTACACTAGACTGAGGGTAACCGATGGATCTCAAACTCATTGGTGAGTTAGGGGAATATCTACCTCAAGCATGTGGAGACTTCCCCCAACAGAATGGGCAGATGAGAGCAATTTGTGCTAATGGGCCATGAAGGCGGTAGAAGCAGGCTCTGTGGAGTGCTTAGAACTTAGTCAGACATTGAAGATGCCAAGGTCATCCACTGCTTCCTCAGACACTGCCCTTTGTCTTTTGACTTTTGTCTTACCATTGAACTTCAATGACTGGAAGAGAGGGTGAAGCTGGCAACTCTGCCTCACTTAAATCCAATTCATACATAAGTCAAGACATCACCCATCATCCACTATTTTACCATTTTATTTTTTACTATTTTACTTTTTTTAAAATTTTACTATGTTATTATTTCTGACCTATGATAGAGCCTTTTGACACTTTGCCTTGACCCTAACATTGTAATGTCATTGTTCCTCTTAAAATATGAAAGACAAACAACAACAGCATTATTCCCATTTTGCAGTTGAGGAAAGTGAGGCAAACAGGTTGAGTGAATTGCCCCTGGTCCCACAGCTAGCAAGTGTCTGAGGCTGGATTTGAACTCAGGTCTTTGTCACTCCAGTCCAGCACCCTATTCACTGCCCCACCTAGCTACCTTATTAACCTCTACTCATAAAAGTATTTCACACCAATGCAGCAGTCAGCTACAGTCTTCATATACACATCTAATCAACACTTAATTATAAATCTGCCTTGCATCATTCTCTTATCATTTGCCATATGTCTGTTAGTATGTCCATGTACATGATATTTAGCTTCTTGGCTAGATTGTAAGCTTCTTGAGGGAGGAATCAGACTCTTCTCAAAGCCTTGTAACAACAAAAATAGAGCACTCAATAAACACATGAATGGATTGACCATTGCTTGATCTAAAAAGAGAGTAGGCAGAAGAAAGACTGTAGCACTTCATTTTAGGAGAGTGCAAACATTCCAGTGCTTTCTAATCTACTTGTCTATTGGTCTGAATGAACATTGATGTGAAATAGAAGTCTAGATTAAATTATATGCCCTGTGTATATGAAAAAAAAACATAGTATTAATGGAGAGAACCATGGAATTGGAAACCTGAATTCCATCCATGGACAGTTGATAAATCCTGCCATGTTTCTAAGAGTCTCTGTTGTTTTTTTTTTCCTATCCATATAATTGTACAACCTGTTTCAAAGAGGTGTTGAGTCAATCTCTGTCATTTGGAAGGTGCTATAGAAGATGTGAGTTACTTTTTTTTTTTTTTTTTACAAAAGCAAGGCACAAAAGTTTTTTGTTTGTATGTTTTAGAGCAAGAACTAATTATTTGCCATCCCTTCTCTTTCTCTAGGGGTACTTGGTGGGAAATTCCTGGAAAGAGGTCGCATAAAGAAACCCGGACAATTACTTTTTAAGAGTGAGCCCTCTGAGTTCTACAAGGCTCAGGATCTGTTTGTTGGTGCCCACGTTTGCTTCAATGGACATATCTTCATTTTGTTGAATGGTGATGAATATGCCTTCACCTACATGGAACAGCATGCAGATGAGGTGAGTAGACCTTTCCCTCCCAACTTTTTGTCTTACCTTTTGAGTAAACTACATTCTTTCTCCCTCCATGCACAGCATCCCTATTTCTCTCCCCCACCCCTTCTTTTCACCACTGGTTTTATGTTGTTCGTTCACCGAGGAACCTGGCATGTGTAATGGAACTGCACAACTTAACCATCGGTCTTGCCACAGAGACCAGTCCGTTGTCCAGTCTGTTTATGCCTGTGAGATGGTGCCTCCAGGGATCTTGAATTCAGGTCACATTTGCCATACAAAACCACACAGTGCAGTCAAGTTTCCTGGTTTTTATGCTGACACTGATACTGTTTCAGAAAAAGATTCAACACCTATAGAAAAGCAATCAAATTTGGCAGCACATTTTGTACTGTTCCAGTTAATTTGCTTATGCTGATAGTAAAGGAATAGATGTTAACCAAACAGAAGTCCTACAGGAATCTTATAGTTGTTATGGCTGCAGCTTCTTACAACCAGGGTCACCTGAGGCATTGGCGTAAATAAGAATCCAGGAAGAGATAAGCTCAATCTGGTTAGAGAGAATTAGGGGAGGCTTGCTATGGGGAAGGCAGAGGAATGTTGCTGTTCTTAGTGTGTTACAGAATTTCTAAGCAAGTAATGATAATAAATTTTTTTTTTAGTTTATATAGTATCTTTGCATTGAAGAATTCAGCATACACGAACAGTTTAGGAACTATCTGCCAGTTTGCATCAAGCTAAAATTATATTATCATCTATTTAATAGAATAATGATGATAATTTTTTGTTGTTGCTGTTAAGTTGTTTCGATTGTATCCAACTCTTCATGACCCCCATTTGGGGTTCTCTTGGCAAAGATTCTGGAGTGGTTTGCCGTTTCCTTCTCCAGCTCATTTTACAGATGAGGAAACTGAGGCAAATAGGGATAAGTGACTTGCCCAGGGTCACAAAGCTAGTAAGTGTATGAAGCTGGATTTGAACTCAGGCCAGCACTCTATCCATTGCAATTTTACATGAGTGTAATAATATGTAGCATTTTGATGCAGATCCTGTCAGTGTTATCTCATCTGGCCTTAAAATGTTCCAGTGGAATAAGTTGCTGAGATAAACCTCAACAAATTAAATCTTATTTTTGTCACAGATGATTAGAATGCAAGTTATAGAAAAATGTCAGATTGTACGTTTTAATATATACATGTGCTTTGGACTATGATTTTGGGAGCTAATGTTTGAATTTGCTAGTCATTTCCTTTCTTTTTTTATTGTTTATATCCTTACCACAAATTTAATAATTTCTGAAAACAGTATGACTATGTTTTTACAATTTGAAATTACAGTTTTGGCTTTGAGGTAAATTATTTATTTACTTTTGATTTTGAGAGTTAGCCCAGTATAATAACTTGAAGGTTGGTCTTGGAGGCCCAGTAAAACCTGGGTTCAGATTTTATCTTTGATTCTGCTGTGTATTCACCAGCAAAATACTTTTTCATTTATTCTCTCAGTAACCCCAGAAATCTTTCTTTATTCTTTTTTTAAAATTAATTTATTTTGATTTAGCCTTTTCCTTTTTTTTCAAGTTATTGAGGTCTCAGCTTTCCAAAAGGCAAGTGTCCTCACTAGTAGAAAAAAAATAAGATATATATATATATTTAAATGATTAAAGATTATGCAAAGTTTTAAAATGCATGCTTTTCAGGATTTCACTACATGAAAGATAGAAATGCAGTTTAATATTGTACAGATTTTTATGCTACTATTCTAGATTCCTTAACCAGTCTTGCAAATAGCTCAAGAACATGGATAAGCATCATAGACTTATTCATCTACCTGTCAAATTTATGTCACTTATTGTATAGATCCCTTCTGAAGAATCACACACAGAAACACTAGCATAAATTAAGACATGCACTGGGATGTTGTGCAGGCATGGAGGGAATGATGGAGGAAGGGGGAAGAAAGGTTGGTTCTTAAGTTTTATTAAAATTCCTTCACTCACCACAATCTGGTTTCTTTCAGGCATGGGCTCCAAGTTAACCACAGGTTCTCTAACATCATTAATTGTAATAGTTGTCCTACTTTGCTGAGTGGCTAGGTAACAAGCTATACATTTATTTGCCCAATTCTGTTGTAAGTCAAATTGTTTATTTCAGGTACATAGCAAAAAAGAGGGCCTCTAATGTTGATGGGGGAAAGGAAGAGGCCCAACATATATGCCATTCAACTTTATGCTGAACTAAAGGAGTGGAGATAGAGAGGGAAGTTGAGGATGCATTCATTTCCTTTCCAGCCAGGTGACAGTGCATAGAATGCTGAACTTGGAATCAGGAAGCCCTGAGTTCAAATTCTGCCTCAGGCACTAACTAGCTGTGTGACCTAGCCTCTCTCAGCCTCAGTTTCTTCATCTGCAAAACAGAGATGACACCTAGTTGATTGCAAATCTTGAAACACCATAAAAATGGTAGCTGTTTTGTTACTGAGGAACATGAAACCTTCAATTCAATTTAACAAGCATTTATTAAACACCTTCTGTGTGCAAGGTGTTATGTTGGCTATACAAAGCCAAAAGCAAACCAACTCTGCCCCCAGGCTCCCAGGGTTTCTTTGATTAGACAGACCTTTTGCTTTGGTTATATTTCTCAGCCTCCCACTCACTACTGGACCTCTCAAGGAATACAGACAGGTCTAAGTGTCATGATAGATATCAGCTACTGGAGGGGTTCCTTAATCCTCAGCTACTATTGGAAGAGTTGACCAAAGAAAGGCAACAAACTGTCTAGTGGAACTAGTTAAGAGAGCTACATTTCAGTTTTGAGTAAATATGTAAGATGATGTTTTGGTGAGGTCTATTTTGAAGGCTATATAAGTTGAAGCACACTTAAGTAGTCAGTTTTTCACCTTAGCTTAAAATATCCTCATTCCTGTATTGGTGTTACCATGACCAAATGCTCTCCTTTCATCCTAATTCTTGAAATGTTGTATTTAATAAAATAAAATAAAATCTATTTTATTTTAAGGGGAAAAATCATATGCTATTTCTTAGTCAATTTCTTAATATTTCTCAATATTTCTTAATATCAGATAAGAAACTTTATGATCTTAAAGAATTGACTAGAGGAAATGATTTTTTGGCAGTGTTATTAATTACTTTAGAAAATTCTGATACTATTTAAACCACTGTGATTTATCTCTTTATTTTAATAATCTGGAAGACCTAAAGTTACACAAAAATTAGGAATTTTACTTGCTTAGCACCAGCAGGATTGACCCCACTAAGTCTTTAGCTATGTTTCTTTACATGTAAATACATCTCTCTCTCTGTATACACATACACACACATATATGTACCTATATACACACACACACACACATATATACATACATGTATACAATATATTTCTTTTCTTTTCTTTCTTAGTTTCCTATGAGCAACATTGAACTTATCCTGAAAAAATTGAAAGCTATTGGAAGCCCCAGTGCCAGAGAGATCAAGCTAGTCTTTGCATCCACTGATCCTAAGCACACAAAGGTGCTGGATTATGAAACATTCAGGTAAGAATGTGGGAGGCCGTCTTTTGCTTTTCCTTCAAGATTTCCCAGTCGGTATTAACAACAGATTAATTTCTGGAGTCTGTATATTTTATGGTGACATTTTTTCTTTTCTTATTACAACATGTGATCTTTTTTTTTTATATAGGGTATACAATGCTATATATAGTAGACATAATTATTAACTACTGGACTGTGGGGCAGGAGCTGCCATTTTTCATATTTATGTTCCTAACACCGAGCAGAGTACCTTGCACACTCTAGGTTGGTTGAATTGAATGTGAAAAGAAATTCAGATAGAGACACAGGAAACAGCAAGCTGGCAATAGCTTCTTCTAAATCATGACACTGAAACAGCAGAAAAATACTAGGGATCACCAAAGTGAGAAAGGGAAAATTGTATGTACAAGTGAAAAGCTGCAGCAAAAGACTTTGAAATAAGGAGAAGGGGCAAGTAGAGGATGAGATGAATAGGTAGCGTCATGAAGTCAACAAACATGAGCTTACACAGACTTTAGGAGACAGTGGAGGATAGAAAGCCCTGGCATGCTATGGTCTATGGGATCTTGAAGAGTTGGACACAACTGAACAACCGAATAACAACAACACATTCAATTAGAATTCCTGAAAGAGATGAGACAAGAGTTGCCAAATATTTTTATAAATGAAATAAGAAATATTGAAAACAAAATGAGAATGATGGAAGAAGGAATTGGAAAAGGAATTAACAGATAATCTTGCCCAGGAAATAAACTCCCTGAAAATTTGAATGGATCCAACATAAGCCAATGACTCTGTGAGACAATAAGAAATATTAAAACAAAGTCAAAAGACTGAAAATATAGAAGAAATTATAAGGTATCTATCTCATAGCAAAAACAACTGACCAGATTTTTTTTAAAAACTCAAAAAGAAAAAAAATTAAGACTACCTGAAAGTCATGACCAGAAAACTAGTCTAGATAATGTATTTCAAGAAATCTTAAAGGAAAACTGTCCAGATCTCTTAGAACCAGAAAACGAAGTGGAAATAGAAAGAATCCATTGTTCATCTCCTGAAAAAAAAACTGCAAAATGAAAATTCCCGGGTACATCATAGCCAAAATCCAGAGTTTCCAGGTCAAATTAAAAATACTACAAGTAGCCAGAAAGAAATAATTCAATTACTTTTTAAATTTATTTATTTTTAGTTTTCAACATTCACTTCCATAAGCTTTTGAGTTTTCAATTTTCTCCCCCTCCCTGCTGTCTCCACTCCCCAAGATGGTGTGTAATCTGATATAGGCTCTACATGTACATTCCCATTAAACATATTTTCACATTAGTCATGTTGTAAAGAAGTATTAAAACCAATGGGAGGAACCACAAGAAAGAAGAAACAAAACAAAACAACAAAAGAAAAAAAGAGATCAAATGGTATGCTTCCATCTGCATTCAGATTCCATAGTTCTTTCTTTGGATGTGGATGGCATTTTCCATCATGAGTCTTTTGGAGTTGTCTTAGATCCTTGCATTGCTGAGAAGAGCCAAATCTATGAAAGTTAGTCATTGAACTGTTACTGTTGTACATTGGCTGTTACTGTGTACATTGTTCTCCTGGTTCTGCTCACTTCACTCAGCATCAATCCATACAAGTCTTTCCAGGTTTTTCTGAAGTCCACCTGCTCATCATTTCTTATAACACAGTAGTATTCCATTACACTCATATACTACAACTTGTTCAGTCATTCCCCAATTGATGGGCATCCTCTCAATTTCTAATTCTTTGCCACCACAGAAAGAGCTGCTATAAATATTTTTTGTACATGTGGGTCCTTTTCCCATTTGTATGATCTCTTTGGGATACAGCCCTAGAAGTGCTATTACTGGGTTAAAGGGTATGCACATTTTTATAGCCCTTGGGCATGGTTCCAAATTGCTCTCCAGAATGGCTGGATCATTTCACAACTCCACCAACAATGCATTAATGTTCCAATTTTCCCACATCTTCGCCAACATTTTATCATTTTCCTGTTTTGTCATGTTAGTCAATCTGATAGGTGTGTTGTAGCACCTCAGAAATAATTCAAAGGGACTGAAGAGCCATGGTCAGGATCACACATGATTTGATAGTCACCACTATAAAAGAGCAAGAGATCTTAGAATATGATATTCCAGAAGGCAAAGGATTTAGACTTATAGCAAAAAACAACCTATCTAGCAAAACTGAGTGTAATCCTGGGGGCCAAGGAGGAAGGGGAAAATAGACTTATTAATGAAATAGAGGATATCCAAGTATTCCTAGTGGGCTGTGGAGGAACTTTGAAGGTCAAACATAGGAGTTAAGAGAAATTCACAAGAGACTAAGCAAGTATAAACTATTGACATTTTAATATAGTGAGATGAAAAATGTGTTCCAGTCATCTAAATCCTGTTATCAAGTCATAAAAGGAGTCTAGGAGTGGTTCTGTTATGTCGTGATGGTCTTAAAAGAAGAATGGGAAGGAAGGGGAAAAGAAATACGCATAACAGAAAGCAAAAGTAAAAAAATAGCATCAGAAGTATATTGTTGGCATTCCATTTTGTGGAAATCACAAACATTCAACTGTTGCTGTCATTTACTTGTAGTCCAATTCCCTGGCGGTTACAGAATAGCTTTACTCCATCCTTAGGTATGATCACAATTTCAATGTCATGTGGCCTTTGAGAAAAGACCACTGCATATCCATAGTCTTCTTTGAAGGGAAGGGAATACTGAATTCCTAGTTGGCTCATGTAGTTACCCACCTCTGGAAAGCAGGATCAGATTTGACAATGATCAAAATGTATCAGTGCATTGTTATCCTACCCTTAAAACTTCATTCCATACACATAGGCTTTGTAAATCTCAATGATAACTCACTTCAAGGCTTGAGCTTTGAGTAACGAGTCTTACTGATGCTCAGTCAATGAGCATTTCTTAAGCACTTGCTATATGCGAGACACTATGCTAAGTGATAGGGATACAAAAAAAAAAACCAAAAAGCAAAAAAACCCCAAACCCAGTAATCTTTATTGACTGTTCCCGTTATTGACAACTATTGAAGAGTCTACCAACTATTACTGTGTCATTCAAGATTCTTATACTATTCTTAGGTCCATACCAAAAGTCTAGTTCAAATATCAGAAATCCCTCATGAATGTCAAAATCCATGAAATGACACTAATTTTCAAACACTGCGCTTATATTTTTATAATATTGATCCACAATATCAACATCTGACCAATCAGTAAAGGAAAATTGCACTAACTGATCAATCTTTTTTTTTTTTTGGCTAGGCATTGGGGTTAAGTGACTTGCCCAAGGTCACACAGCTAGTATGTGTCGAGTGTCTGAGGCTGGATTTGAACTCAGGTCTTCCTTACTTCAGGGCCAGTGTTCTATCCACTGTGCCACCTAACTGCCTCCCTAACTGATCAATCTTAAATGGTACAGAACTGAGAACCGCTAAAAACCTTAGCTTAAAAAGGCCAAGGTCCCCCACTTCATCCTGTTCCATCTGCAGTCCTCCTGATGTATATCTGGCCACTGGACCCAGATGACTCTAGAGAAGAAAGCGAGACTGGTGACTTGGCACAGCCCTCCCTCATTTAAATCCAATTCACTTGCATGTCATGGCATCACCTCCCTGAAGTCATGGTCCTCTTTGAGAATGAAGAACAAATAACAACAGCTTATAGACTTTATGTGTTTTCCACTGCCTAGCTCAAAGCTTGTAAAAACAATAGTCCAAATCTCTTCTCAAGGCTAGTCTTCACAAATTCCCAGAATGCTGGTCAGTTCTCAAAACCCAATTACATGGGTAATGGGTGTTACAAGTGTGTAAATAAGTAGCAATAAGAGCAACATCATCCCTTAGCACACTGATATGCAGTTAAATAAGTTAATGTTCACATTAATACTGTCAAATCAGCCAAGCACAAGCTTTTATTAAGCACAGACACTCAGCTAAGTGCTAAGAATACAAAAAAAGGAAAAAAAGAAAAGAAAAAATAATCCCTTCCCTCAAGAAGCTTATATTCTATTTGGGAAAGCAAGATATATGTCAGAAATATAAGATAAATACAGAGTAGAAAAATATTAAGAAGAATAAAACGGGGGCAGCTATGTGGAGTACTGGATAGAGCATCGGCCCTGGAATCAAGAGGACCTGAGTTCAAATCCGGCCTCAGACGAAACACTTGATGTTTACTAGCTGTGTGACCCTGGGCAAGTCACTTAACCCCAATTGCCAAAAAAAAAGAATAAAATGGAAAAATAGTCACTGTATTCAAAATAAAAAATCCAGCTAAGGGACAGGGAAGAAAAATAACATAACATTAAAAGAAATAAAAGCAAATGTTAAAAGATAGCAAATTGGAGGTATCAGAATTTTAATAGCCCAACACAGAAGAATAATATTTCCCCCCAAAATAGCCAAATGTTGAACTATGTTCAACTATAAAATAAGAAAAATAAGGAAATAACATAAAACCCTAAAAATGAAAATTCAGAAAACCAAAACAAAATTTAAGTGTTTTTATTTATCTTTAATGCATGTAGCAGTACAGGAAATTATGCTTTAAAAAAGGAAGAAAAGAAGCAGGAAGAAGGAATTCAAACAGTCTCTAAACTCTCAAAGCAGAAAAGTTTAAAAAAAAATTGGCAAAGCTACCCATGTGTTGCCCCCATGTGCTCAGAGTTTGCATGTTTGCTTGTTGGAAGGTGAAAATGAAACGAAAAAGGAGGTACTCATTGTCTCCTCTGTTCTCCACTTTGATACATGGGCATTATTCGACCTGCTCCTCCTACCAGGCCTAACTCTAGTCTCTGATATAAACCCCACCCCCACAGAGAATTCTCTAGGCAGATATGGGGAGATGGGGCAAAAAATGGAGAAGGCAGTATGACCTGATAGCCTGTCGTCCTACCAGACAGCAAAAGCAATTGACTCACTTTCACCTAAGGGAAAAAGCCATGGTCTAAGCTTTATCCACTTTGGAGTG